TCCCACAACCAGGCACACCACGCCAGCTCCTCGGGGCCTGCCCACGGTCCTGGGGCATGGAGAAGGGGACTGGACCACCCTCCCATAACCAGGCACACCATGCTAGCACCTAAGAGCCCACCCAGGGACCCAAGGCATGGAGAAGGGGACTGGACCTCTCTTCCACAACCAGGGACACCGTGCCAGCACCTTGGGGCCTGCCCAGCCCAGAGGCATGCAGAAGGGGACTGGACCCTCCTCCCACACTAGGCACAAAACGCCAGCACCTTGGGGCCCACCTGGGCACCTGAGGCATGGAGAAGGGGACCGGACCCTCCTCCCACAACCAGGCACACTGCGCCAGTACCTCGGGGCCTGCCTAGCGACCTGGGACATGGAGAAGGGGACTGGACCCCTCTCCCACAACCAGGCACATGGCGCCAGCGCCTTGGGGCCTGCCCAGGAACCAGAGGCATGTAGAAGGGGACCAAACACACCCCACAACCAGGCATACTGCCAGTGCCAAGGAGCATGCCAAAAACAGCACCTCCACTTGGGTGGCCCACCACAGCCACCACAATAACCACGGCTGCTGCAAAAGCGGCTAGACACCACAGCCACCACGCAGATGGTCCGCCAACCACTGGAGTGCATTCACACAAGAAGAGTCACCAGCAGAGACAAAGAAAAGAAGATGTCTCTTTCCACAAAACCCATTTCAGAGTGACAGATGAAGCATCTGCTTTATGATAATATTGCGGGACCTGATCACATCTCTCAGGTTTGGGCAGATCATTTGGGCAACAAGTTAACAGAGTAACCTTTATTCTTTCAGAAGGAGAGAAGAAATCTAGGGCAATTAGAGGGGGAAGGGGAAGGGAATGGGGGAAGGGGAGAGGTTGGACAAGGGGCATAAAGAATAATTACGATTTGTAACAATATATATGCTAGTAATATTGATTTAATCAACATATCTCAATGTTCAACTCCCAAAATATGTATATTCGATTTTGATTCAATAAATAAAAATAATAAATAAATAAATAAATAAAAAATTTTAATGGACATGTAATTATACATACTTACAGGGTACAGTCTGATGTTTTGACACACATTATGTTGTAGATTAATCAAGTTGGAGTAGTTAATGTATCAATCACTTCGTGCATGTAACATTTGTTTGTACTCACATGCCCCTTATGTCCAGAAACCTTAACATTAAGATGGACCTTCCTCAGCCAGTGTCAGGGAAATCTCCTACTAAAGGTGACACTGGTGGTGCCTGTGCTCCCATTGCCATTTAGAAAGGACACTCTGGAGGTTGCAGAGGAGGCAGCAAGGCTAGCCTGGTAAGCCTGATGCCAGAACCCCATGCCTGGTGCAGCCACAGAAAGTGACTGGGACTTGTGGAAACTGAGTAAGGCAAGGTCAGAAGGCCAGACCCAAAATGTGGCAGAGTGGGGAAACAAACATGATCCTAGGAGATGGCAGACATAGGAGCCAGATCCTTCAAAGGGACTGTCAGATTCTCAGGAGTTGAAGACAAGAACAGTTGTGGTGGGTTTTACAGTGAGGAGCCAGGGATCCTAGGAGATGGCAGACATAGGAGCCAGATCCTTCAAAGGGATTGTCAGATTCTCAGGAGTTGAAGACAAGAACAGTTGTGGTGGGTTTTACAGTGAGGAGCCAGAAAAGGCTGAGTGAAGACCTATAAAGGCCCTGGGACTCTGCTGGTATCTCTTGGGCAAAGGAAACGGAAAAGTCAGACTAGCGCAAATGTGCCCACCTGAGTGGTGTGCACCAGGGTCACAAACATAAGCCTGGCCTGCCCAAGAAAAGGCTGGGATCTGGGTCACTGTCAGACACACCTTGCCCAAAGTCCTGCCTGCTGCATGTGTACCATGGGGACAAATCTTAAGGGGGTGGGATTCTAGGTCAGGAACTGGGCACAGAAAAGGGGTTTTACTTCACAGGGAAACAAGCAAGAGGATTACCTCTAGCATTCCTTAGGCCAGCTATGTAAACTGCCACCTGCCAAGAGGAAATGCCATCTGCGAGGCAGGTACAGTAGTTATCTGGAGCACAGGGTGAACAGTCCACAACGAGTAGTTTTAAGTTGTTTGGGACAGGAGTTGCCTTCTGTATCAAGAAGTGGACACCCAGATTTGGCCGATGTCTCACCTGAGCAGGCAGCTTGGCCTGGCCCCTTCCTAAGAGCAGAGACACATTCCTGCATTCTGTCTGATCATCCCCATCTCAGCTGAAGGCTTCCAGCAGTCAAGGAGAAAACAAAGTTCACTTCTTTTATCTACAGGTACTTCTAAAAGCAGGCCATGGCAGTAAAATACCTCCACTCTGCTTTCAAGCCAGCATTATAACGAGCCTTGCTTGCTGTTTTAGCACTGAGAGTGTTTCCTAGACCTTTGATTTCTGTAATATATATACATCATCTTGGGGCTGCAACATAGTCCTTTTTTCATTGTAAAATAATCCTTTGTTGTTAAAAGCAATGAATCAGGGAGCCTGACTTATGAATGGGAGCAAAGGGAGGCAATATGCTCCCTCAGGACATGAAGTATTTGTCTACTGTGGCAGATCACTTCCAAGAGAGCCACCAAATCTCCGAGGAGAAAAGAAATACTTGCCTTTTATCTCCTCCCTCCCCAGACTGCCCATGCCCATGTGGAACCAGGTAAGTCTAGTCCATAGGGTCCTCTGGACCCAGATGCAAGGGAAAGGTATTTACAAAGGCACTGTCACTTCACAAGACCTTGGAGGAATTTGGAAAACAGCACATATGGCTTCAAGGTCATCTGCCCACATGTGATCCCATCCGTACCTTTAAACACACACAGAATTTGACACATATTGCCTCTGAACAATTAATTGGAAGGCAGTATTAATGACATAGACCTACCAAGTGCTAGAGAGAATGTGGTCCATCTTAGCCTAAAAGGATTCAGACTAAAAGTGGGCTTTCCTCTTGTGAGACAGGCCCAGGGCTTCCCCAAGTTCACGGACAATGGAGACATAGCATTTTCCCAAGGCTCTTCGCTGAGGAAGTTTGACCATCTATGCTTGTCGCTTTTGCCCTCGAAAAAGTAGAGGGGCACTAAGGGAGAAAGTGCCAAGGAGCCAAGGTGCACTAGGGTGGCAATAATCACACAGTGGACAAGGGCCTCTGAAGGAAAAAGAAGGCACCAACATTTATGAGAATAAGATAGGGCCCGGGACTGGACAGGTCAGCAAATCTCAGGCTCAACTACTGGCCAGTACCACCAACTAAGTGAACACTACCTTAGCTTTCTCTGCTCCCAGCCAAAGCTCTTCTCAAGGATGACACAGCTTCTCTGAGTCAACTTCCATTCCCAGTCTGACCTCTAGACACTACCCTCTCTTCCTAAGGGACCCCGCCCCCATCAAGCCTAGTATTTCCCTCTAGCCCACAGGCTTTTTCTTAAGCAAATAAAGAGCAAGACATTCAGAAATGATGATCCATGGAAGCATTCCCCTCTAGCTATCATCCGTCTTTTCACAGGTCCAGATACCCTAAAATATTGATCACACTTGTTGGCATCCAGTACCTCACCAGCCATCGGTCCAACTGGACCTGGCTTCAGTCCTTGCCTCACCACTCAGATCCTCCTGCTGAAGTCAGCAGTGTCCTTCACACTTGCAAAGCCAATAGGCTTTTCTCTGTCCTTCCCTTGAGGTCTCTGCAACATTAAACATCACTGATCTCTTCCTTCTTCCTTAGTGTCTGAGGCAATGCTCTTTCCTGCTTCTCCTGTTTCAGTCTCCTGGACTTTTCCCCCACGACATCACTGGGCTGCCCTTATTATCTCTACATCTGGATACTGGCTGACTGCAGCCCATACCCTTGGCTTTGACAATGACTTCCAAACATGTATCTCAGGATCAGACAGCCCTCCTTGGTTATCTCCTGGACCTATGATTCTCCTGTGCTTTTTATTTCAAGGACAGGTACCACTAACCTTCCCAATCTCCTAAGATGGAAATCTAGGAGTCATCCTAGATACCTTTTTTCCCAACTCATGCCCCACATCTAGTCTGTCATCAGATCCTACTGACCTAACCTCCACAAAATTTCCTTAATCTACCTGGGGTGGACACTGTGGATGGACCCAGCCAACACCCTGCTTCTGGGGTGTAGTGCCTGGAAAGTAAAGGGGCCTCTAAAAGCTGGACCTGAGGTTACCTGGTACAGCAGTCCAACACACACATTCCTCTCCAGGGACTGGCCTTTCCTGAGCAGCACCCAGCTCAGCTCTTTCCCAAGACAAATGCTCTGGTATGCTCTGTTGTCTCCGCTCCCCATGGACAGGCAATGGAATCAGCAAGGCAAAACTGTTTTGGGTACAGAGTTGTTTTCTTCTGTCTGATTTCTGCTTGCTGGGCTGACTCAGGAAGCCCAGACCCCGGCATGTCTCCTAACAACAATGAGCATTTCATCACCACTGCAGGGAATTTAGAATTTATTCTGGATCTCTAGGCATCACAGATAATATGACTATAAAGTGCTGCTTCCAGGGCTACCAGGTGGTAAGACAATGCAAGGTCAAGTGCAACCTGCAAGATGGGTAGATTTTTCTAAATGTTATCAAGGAGGTGTGGAAAATTCCAGTGTGTATGGGAGGTTTTAAGGAAGACGAGTCCTGCTGGGCCGAACTCTGCACTCCTTGGACAGAAGTGCATCAAGATCTTGCTGATCCAGCAGCTAGGAATACCTATTCAGTCCACTGAAATCAGATGGAAGCCTAGGGCATACTTAAGCCCAGTTCAGGACAGCTGCTGCCATGGCAATTTATTGCCATTAAGAGACAAGCTCTTGGAAGAAATCTGCCTATCAAATATGACAAAAGTAAAGATGTCAGAGTTTTCCCTGGACAATTTTGTTTGCTTTAGATTTCAGAATGGTAGGTAGGAGCATGAAGAAAAGTCTGTTGCATCTAAACAGAATTTGAAAGGCATGCAAGCAGGAAGTAAAACATATTGCTTACCTTGTGAACACTGGTCAAGACATTTAGGGAAGAGAAACCTAGGGGAAAAAAAAGAGAAATATTTTAAAATCATTCAACTCAGAGTTGTCATTATTTCCCACAAAAATGTGAATACATCACTGATATGCAAGTTTTCTTACTTGATGAGGCAAGCAGCAGGCAGCACTGAGCATTAAAGATAGCCATAGTTATTCAAAAGACTTCCATGGCTTTGTGCCAAAGTTCCCCAAGCCAGGAGGTCCACAGAAGATCTCACATGGCTGTCTCTTGGTGGAACATCAAAGAAGGGATAATGGGGGCAGGACCAGGTCTTTATTTTATTTTATTTTATTTTATTCTTTTGTCCTTTTTGTGACCGGCCGCACCACGGTCAGTGAGTGCATCGCACCGGCCATCCCTATATAGGATCCAAACCGGCGGTGGGAGTGCTGCTGCGCTCCCAGCACTGCACTCTCCCGAGTGCGCCACGGGCTCGGCCCAGGACCAGGTCTTTAAATTATAGGAGATGGAGAAAGAGAGCTAGTCTTTTTTGAAAGAGATGCTGTTCTGAGTAAACGGGAAATTTCAAGGGAAAATGAGAATTACATTCATCTAACTCCACTAGGGGCCTTCCAAACCAAAGTTGCCATGCTTCTCTTTAGGTGCACACTAGAATCCCAGTTCTCCTTTAATTTTATTTTTAACTCAAACAGTGAATGAAAAGCAGGAACTGAATGACTGGATCACAAGTAAAGCAAGAGGTGGGGGGTGACTGATCCAAAGTGTGAGTTAGTTAACATCTATGTATATAGCACTGCAGTAAGCTCCAGAGAAAAACTCATATTCTCACCTCCTAAAGCATGACAAGGCATTTCTTTTTTTTTTTTGTTAAATTTTTATTTTGTCAATATACACTGTATATGATTATTATGGCCCATCACCGACACCTCCCTCCCTCCTCCCTCTCTCCCCTCCCCCCCAAGAGTGTCCTTTCCGTTTGCTTGTTATAACAACTTCATTAAAGTATAGTTGTTATATCTTCTCCCCCCCCCCCCCCCCCCCCCCCCCCCCCCCCCCCCCCCCCCCCCCCCCCCCCCCCCCCCCCCCCCCCCCCCCCCCCCCCCCCCCCCCCCCCCCCCCCTCCTCCCTCTCTCCCCTCCCCCCCAAGAGTGTCCTTTCCGTTTGCTTGTTGTAACAACTTCATTAAAGTATTGTTGTTATATCTTCTCCCCCCCCCGCCCCCCCCGTATGACAAGGCATTTCTCAGGGAAGAAAGCTAACACCAATGAGAATAGCAGCTGCCTTTTATTGAGTTCCCACTATGGGCTGGGCATAGTGAACGTAGTTCACATACAGGATCTTGCTCTGTCATCCTGTCCACCCTGTGCGTTGGGTATCTAACAGATGCAAAGCATGGGTTTAGGATGGCTAAGCTGGCTCAGAAGCTTGCCCAAGCTGGGAAATGAGAGGCTGAAGCAGAAACCCCAGTCTGCTTGGCTCCACAGAGTGCCTGTGTTTTCTTCCCCAGCTTGGATGCAATCACTTGTATGAATTGCTGCTGGTCTAGTTAAGTGTTCAAAACACTGGGCAATCTGTGTCCTGGAATTTCCTTGGTGGTGGCAAGTCTTCATCCTTTCATTTGACTTCTGACAGCAGTCAGACACACACCATTTGGAACCAAACTGGGTAGATGAATGATCTAGATGAATACCACTTTGGGCTGTGGATCCAGTTCTCTTGCTTGACTCTCTCATGGTTTCTGAAGAATCCCAAGGAGAAATCCCCATGTGCTACATGAGCAAGGTCAAGAGGTTTAGAACAAGGGAAGAGATGTCCACACCAGAGTCTGCACCGACAAACATTAAAACAATGGATATACTGGTTACTGACCAGCTCTTCCTCTGAATAACACAAGTTGCTGTGATTACAATATATTCCTAAGCATTACACAGGTATGGTATGATACCATGCATTTGTAGTACACTAACCATGTACCTGATTTATACAAAATTCTAGTCTATCAATAAAAGACAATTTTGATCAAGATCTACCTTACTCCAAAACATGGTCCCACAATTCCTATATGCATATCCTCGAAAATCCCAAGAGCAGATACCTGGGCTGACTTATTCCTTGCTACAAACTCAATGATTAGAATGGTCCTGGCACAAAGTAGACATTCAATAGATACCCACTGAATGAAATCTGTTAGAATAAAGATATCAAGCAAATCTCACATGGACTCATCCTGAATTCAAATTGAGCCCACTTCCTAGATTAAAAAAGCTACACAAACATCCATCTCACAGAAAGGAAAAATAAGCCCTACTATGCTCTATCACCACCTGTTTTATTCCAAAAACATTATCTAGACTCAATGAGGCAAATTTTGTTTTTCTTAAGGAAATCATTTTACAAAAAAACCCCAACACTGAATTCAGAGTTTTAAAAACTTGATTTTTAAAAAAACTTTTCTTATTAAAGTTCAAAGCTAGCATCATAGTTAAGGGATGCCTTCCCCTTCAGATCAGGAACACAACAAAGGATGTTTGCTCCTGCTACTTCTATTCAACATTATACTGGAGGTTATAGTCGGGGCAATTAGGCAAGAAAATAAATAAATAAAAGGCATCCAGATTGGAAAGGAAAAAGTGAAACTATCTCTATTTATAGCTGACATGCTTTTGGATGTGGAAAATCCTAAGGATTCCATGAAAAAAACTAATAGAACTAATAAATGAGTTCAGCAAAGTTGCAGGATATACGATCAACATACAAAAATCAATTTTATGTCTATATACTGGCCATGAAAAATCCAAAAATGAAATTTAGACAACAATTCTATTTATCTTAGCATCTAAAAGAATAAAGAGTAAATTAAACGAAGGGAAAGTAAGACTTGTATACTGAAAACTACAAAACATTGCTGAAAGAAATTAAAGAAGACCTAAATAAATGGAAAGACATATCCACGCTCATGAACATGATGAAGGACTTGTATTCAGAATTTATAAAGGACTCTCCCAACTCAATAAAAAGAGAAATAACCCATTCAAAAATAGGCAAAGTATCACACATTGTGTGCATGTGTTTTTTGTTTTGGCAGCTGGCTAGTACAATGATTGAACCCTGGACCTTAGTATTATCAGCACCATGCTCTAACCAACTGAGCTAACCAGCCAGCCTGTGTACATACGTTGAAATTTGTTTTTTTGTTTATTTATTTGTTTTTTACATGTGTTGAAATTTGAATAGAGATTTTTCCAAAGAAGACATACATTCAGATCCCCTTATTGGTCAGCCACCAAAAACAAACAAACAAAAAACAAAGACGACATATGAGTGGCCAATAAGCAAACGAAAATATGCTCAACATCATTAGCATTAGTGAAATGCAAATCAAGACCACAATGAGATACCACTTCACACCAGGATGGCTAAAAAAGACAACAAAAAGTACTGATGAGAATGTGGAGAAATTGGAATCCTCGTATATTGCTGGTAGGGATGTAAATGGTGCAGTTGCTTTGGAAAACAGTTTTCAGTTCCTCAAGAAGTTAAACATAGTTACCATATGATCCAGCAATTCTATTCCTAGGTATATACCCAAGAGAACAACAGAAAACATATGTCCAAACAAAAACTTGAGCACAAATGTTCATAGCAGTATTATTCATAATAGCCAAAAAGTATAAATAACTCAAATGTCCATCAACAGATGAATGGATAAATAAAATGTGGTAAATCCATACAATGGAATATTATTTGGCCATAAAAAGGAACAAAGTACTGATACATGCTACAACATGGATGAACCTTGAAAACATTATTCTAAGTGAAAGAAGCCAGACACAAAAGACCACATATTGTATAATTCCATTTATGTGAAATGTCCAGAATAAGCAAATCCACAGAAAAAGTAGAGTAGTAGTTGCCAAGGGATGAGGGGAGGAAGGAATGAGGAGTGACTGCTAATGGCTATAAAGTTTCTTTTTGGGATGATGAAAATGAATTGGATGTTGGTAAGGGTTACACATCTCTGTGTATATACTAAAAAATACTGAACTGTATACTTTAAATGGGTGAATTTTATGGCATATGAGTTATATTTCTATAAAGCTACTATATAAGAAAGCCATATACATGTATACTATAAAATATCAAATAGTTTCCCATCATCCAACACTCATTCTCAAGGCACTGGCCATTTTCCAGAAGGAACCACTATTAATAGTTTGTTTTGCATCCTTCTAGATATCATGAACTTTTTAAAGACCTCTTACGGATATCCCAAAACGTAACCAGTCACTTTAATGAGCATTTGGATTATTTCCACTTTTCTGATATTATAAACAGGTTGTTTTGAACACTGCAGAGCACATCTGTCATGTTTCAGATTGCCAGTACCTCTCCTAGGCTTGATTAGGAAGTCCATCCCTCTTTGTAAAGGGCAGAAAATTGCTTTCCACCCTTCTTGCACTCTGCTGCATGCATGTTGCACCAACTGGATGTGCCACAAGATTCCAGCTGGCAGTGAGCAAAGTGAGTGAGGGAATATATGGTAAGCAAACTCCATTTTCTGGTGAAGGAAGTAGTGGACATACTCCCCTACCAGGGTAGCCCTACTGGAGGTTTAAGCATTGTTCCTGGCTGCCTAGCTAATACAGCCTGACTCTTTGGCCCTCTTGGAGATCCTGAAAGCTATCTAAATTTCTCTAATAAACCCCTTTTGATTTAAACATGCTGGAGTTAAGAATTAAACATGTTTGGAATTAAGAATTCCCCATGAAACAAATACAAATGTGTATATGCACATTTGTACAAATATAACTGTATAATAAAATTCTAACAATAGAATGGCCAAATTTCTCTCCAAGGAGATTGTGATGGTTAATCTTAGGTGTTAAGTTGACCAGATTAAGGAATACCTAGAAACCTGGTAAAGCATTATTTTTGTGTGCATTCCAGAGGTGATTAGCACATGAGCCTGACTGGACTGGGTGGGCTGGGTGGGAAAGATCCACCCTCAATATGGGCAGGCACCAACCAAGTCTGCTGGGGGGGCTGGAGAGAACAAAAATGGAGGAAAAGGTGAATCTCTCGCTCTAAATGCTGGAGCTGGGATACACCCTTCTTTCCTGTCCATGGACATCAGAACTCGAGACTTTTCGGCCTTTGGGTTCCAGGATTTACACCAGAGGCGCCTCCAGGCTCTCAGGCCTTTAGCCTCTGACTGAGAATTACACCATGAGCTGCCATAGTTCTGAGGCTTCCAGACTTGGACTGAGCCACACTATCTGCAGCCAGTTTGCAAACAGCCTATCATGGGATGACTCAGCCTTCACAATCACATGAGCCAATTCCCCTAATAAATCCCCTCTCATATATTTATATACACATCCTATTGGTTCTGTCTCTCTGAAGAACCCTGACTAATACAGAGATTGTATCATTATATTCCTATCAACAGTATATGAATACACCTATTTTCCCACAATGTTGCTGGATAATAAATCACTCCAAAGCTAAGTGACTTAAAATAATGATGATTTCTTATTTCTCGTGATGCTATGGGTTTGCTGGGCAGTTATTTTGGCCTGGGGATGCACACCTGGGGCTGGTTGTCTAAAATGGTCTCACTCACAGGCCCAAATGGAGCCTCAGTCCAGATGGCAGGAATGGGATTGGGTGGACCTGTCTCCACATAGTCTCTCATCCTCCAGCAACCTAACCTATGCTTATTCATGAGGTGGTCTCTCAGCTCCCAGAAGCAAGAGAGGGCAAGTCCCAATATGTAACTGCACTTCAAGCCTCTGCTTGTTTCATGCAATGTTAATGTCCCGTCAGCCAAAGCAAGTCATATGGCCAAGCCCAAATTCAAAAGGTAAGAAATAGATTCAATTCTTCAGTTCTTGATGGAAGGGGCTGCTTTTGCTGTGGCCATATTTTTAATCTAACACAGTTAGCCAGGTAAAATATTTTTTCTTTTTAAAATTTTTGGGCTAAACCCTGACCATTTAATTCTTTTAATGGAATGGGCTTAATTTTATTTAACAACTTTCTATTCTTGACTATAGTTCCCATAATTCTTTTATCCATTCCATGTGTCCATGGAATCTAATCATTAGTTTTTCAACAGAGTGTAAACCATGATAATACATTTGGAAATTTCTCATTAATACCTAAAAAAATTAACAATCAGTAATTTTGATTTGTCGACTTAAATGTTTTTCTTTTCCCAATATGAAAAAATGAGGAATTAGTGTACTCATACTAATTCACTAATATCACTTACCCTGATTCTGTTGCTTATATTTTTATATTCCTTAACTATAATTTACCAAATTTTAGCTTTATTTTTATATTTAAACAGATTATATGCTCATCTTTGGTCCTTTTATATATTTATTTATTTAAATTATTTTCGAGGATACTTAGTACACACATGCAGGAGCACTCATTTATTCAAGAGATATTTTATGAGCAGTTCTTACATACTAAGCATTAAACGGAAATGATTCTTGCCCTCACAAAAGCTAAGTTTGTATTCTATAATTCCTCTCTCTTTTCTTTGGCTACCAGCCCAAAGGGGTTTTATTCTCAGAATAACAGAATTAACAATATATAAGGTATATTGAGGTGTCCCAAAAGACAAACACATGTAAAGATGTTTCTCCTTCTGGTGAGTGGAAAAAAAATCACTTTCAGTAACACTAAACATGCCACATTCTGTGGGTGGAGGATACCTGTGCTCCATGTAGCAGCTCAGGGGCTCCAGGCACACCGTGATGGCACCAATGGCAAAGGAGGACTTGACATTTGAGTCTGGGTGGGTCTGCAGGGCCTGGACAACATCAATAACATCTGTGTAGCTGAGGAGGAAAAAAGGAATGATTAGTTTACTGATTGGGTCTGCACAGTGGAGGAAGAAGGAAATGCTCAGTGGCCCAGTAACAAGGGTGAAGAAAAAACAAAAGAAGGAGCTTGTGATTGGGTTCCTTAGTGCCACCCCACGTCATGATTTAGAGCCCCTGCAATCCACGAAGTGTTTCTTTATTCTTGAGTTCTATTAGTCTTCATAACTGTGCACCAGTGGGTGGGAGAGCCACACTGCTCTAGGGGTAAAAGTAAGCCTGCAGGTAACCCTGGGGCTCTAAGGGTGAGACTTGGTATCCTTAGGCCTGTTTTCTAATCATCAAGTTGGGAGCACCTGCCGTGGTCTATTTTCTATTATAGCTCTTTCTTCTCCTTCTCATCTCACAGAAAAATGCAGGAAAAAGAGAAAGGGGGATTATTAGGACTTGTCCAGGTTAGCAGACAACATGCCAAATACCACTTGCATTTGTATCTCTTGCTTGGAACTCCCTCCAAACTCTAGACTTAAAGAGACAATTCTGTATCTTTGCTTAGAATCTAATATGTTCATGATCCAACTCCCCCATGCCTGCTCCTCCCAAGGCCTTGTCCTTCTTAGTAGAGGGGACTCCACTCTTTCAGATGCTAGGCTGAAAGATTTGTTTGGAGTCTTCTTTGACTCCATTTTTTCCTCATTTTTCAAAATATAGCTAGAAGAGATCACCACCCACATTCCCAAACCCCACTGGGTCCAAACTAATACCATCTCTTGAACACCCCAACAGCCATCCAGCTGGCCTCCTGTTCTTGCCTCACTCCAATCTGTTTTCAACACAGAAGTCAGAGGGATATGCTAAATCCTCAAAATCCTCTAGTGGCTTCCATCTAACTCTGTGTGACAGTTAAAGCCCATACAATTGTCCAAACAGCCCTCTATGATCTGACCCCCCACAACGCAGGGAAGAATTTCATCTCTTACCATCCCTTCCGTACCCTAATCCAACCTCCTAGCTCTTTCCTGAACATGCCAGGCATAGTTCCACCTCCGCACTCTTTGTCCCCTCTGCCTGGAATGCTCTTTTCCTCAGATATCTGTCTGGCTCACTCCTTTCAGGTATCTGCTCAAGTGGCATCTTATGAGAGAGGTATCCTCTGACTTCATATACCCGCACTCTTTGTCCCCTCTGCCTGGAATGCTCTTTTCCTCAGATATCTGTCTGGCTCGCTCCTTTCAGGTATCTGCTCAAGTGGCATCTTATGAGAGAGGTATCCTCTGACTTCATATACCTATATGATACAGCAACTCTTCCTCTTGGCACTCCCTGCTCCCTCCTCTAAATTTTCTCCAAAGCACCAATCATCGGGTACATACGCTGCATTTTATTGTCTGTCTCCACAATAAGAATGTAAGTGGCTGTTGAGTGCTATAAAGCAGGGTGCGTAAAGCAGGGTAGATGAATGAAGTGGCCATTCAACCCTGGGCAGACCCCTGGCCACTCCAAGACGGGACCCACCCTCCTAACCTTGTAGAGAACACTCTACTGATTGACTCAGGCTATCACCAAAAGGTCTGTTCCTATGGAGGGAAGTCAAACCTGAGAGGCAGCCTTGATGATCAGATGGGCCTGGGTTTAGCCTGAGCCCTTGGGAGGCCTGTGGTGGTGTTGGTGATAGGTACACCTGCCTGAGCCATTTCTTGAGTTCCTACAACTTGTCTATATAGAGGTCCTTGGCTTTATCCCAGACTACAGTATTACCCACCCATCCGCCCCCCATCCCCAGGCCTGGTCTTAGTCCTGACCGCCCAGCAGTGCTTCAGTAGAGCACAAGGTGTGCTAGGTTCTGGAGTTCCCCTATGAAGGCCTGGCAGCCAGAGTCCCTTTAGAGTGAGCCCTCTACTCAATGGCTTCTCTTCTCCAAGGCTTCTTCCCCTACCTGGGCATTTGTGTATGGCCATGTGGGCTTCTTTCCACCACAGTGCCTGGGTGGACCTGGATGCAAGGAGAGTCCCACACAGTGCACGCACTGCCAGGCCCTTATAGCAGCATACTTGGTACACGGGACTGACACTTGCACACTGCCCCAAATCTCCTTGTGGTAGTGTTTAATGGATTTAATTCTCACGGTTAAGCGCCCCAGCCTTGCTCCTCAGCATTAGCTTTTCCCCTCTTCCAAAAATATATGCTTGTAGGCTTTTTATTTTCCAAGTTCAGTATAAGCAGTAGAGATGCATTTCTTAGGTAGAAAAGGATGACTAAAAGGTTTACAAGCCAATCTTGAGGATTCCAGTTATTTTAATATAATAGGATTTCCCTTAGAGAGGGTGGCTGGGGATTCCCAAGTTTTCAGAGTATCTCATTAATCTTCACTGATTTTAGTGGGAAAATGTTAGAGTGAAAAACAGACCCCAGGCTCCTTGATGAGGCCTATGTATCTGGGCACTGCCCCAAGGGAGGAAGCCCTTGGCCATTCACTCTACTGATTAAGGGAATCCCTGCTAGAATCTCCCTCTCCCCGCTGCCCCTGAACTATAATCATCCTGGACGTGGCCTCCAGACAGAAGGAGGCAATCCTCATCACAGAAGGAAGCATGGTGCTTAAGCTGTCAGACCTTGTACCAGACCACTTTGGCTAAACTGACCCAACTGCATGATAAAGGCAAAAGCTGACTTCTTTCTTGTCAGTATTATATTTATTAAAAACAAAAACAAAACAAAACCCTAGCAGTATCTTAACTTTCTTCCCTCTGAAACAAGAAATATTCAAGTCTCCTTTGGGCTCTGTTTACGTTTGCAATTTAAGCCTACAATTTGACTGGGCACATATTTTACATTAATTCAATTTTTGTTTTGAGAAAGTGTTTTTAATGTAGATAATTCTAAAGAATGATTTTACAACATCCCAGAGTATAAACAAATACAGCCTGTCAACAATTCCTGAATTTTTTAAAACTTAGATTTCCTCAATTTTACTTAAACTTACTTGTGCATGTGTGTGTATTAAGTTCTATACAATTCTGTCATCTGTGTAGTGTGTATCCACCACTTCAGCCAAGATACTGAACAGTTCCAACACCATAAGGATCCCTTGTGTTACCCTTTTATAACAACACTCACCTCCCTCATGACGTGACCCCATCCCTAACCCAAGAAAACCACTAATCTGTCTTCCATTTCTACAATTTTGCCATTTAAAAAATATATTAATTCAATTTTTAAAACAACCAACAACTCCTCTTGATGTCAAAGTTTAAAACCACTGTCCCCACTGCTGCACCAAGTCAAATGGGACTTGGCCACTCTAGGGGCTAAAGAAAATTTTGCCTTATGTCACAAATTTCCCCAAGGAATGCTATAAATGAAAATAAAAGCCATATCTGAAGAATAAAATTCTCAATTTGAGAAACCTCTGGGACCTTCCTTTACCAGCAACCTCAATAACGGGCATGAAGATCCAGCCCCAAGGAGAGGGACATGCTACGGAGGAGGCTGCTACATATACTTTGCTGAGCCTAAAGAAAATGCATGCAGGCTATAAGAACAGTGCTTAGTGAAGAGCCATAGATTTAGCTGAAACTGTGACTGAGTCCTTCAGGAAATCTATCAGAGGTCCCTAGCGTCCTAGGGCTGTGACTGGGCAAAGGCTGGGTCTGCAGTACAAGAGTGGGCTAGCCCTATACTGTCATTGCAGTCCAGAAGCAGCCAGGACAGCTGACACTTTTGCAGACTTGTAAAGTCAGAGACAAGGAGTCAATGAGGCTCTCTGAAGTGATGGAAAATAGAAATGACTTCAGCTGCACATTGTCAAGCTCAGCTGACACTTTTGCAGACTTGTAAAGTCAGAGACAAGGGGTCAATGAGGCTCTCTGAAGTGATGGAAAATAGAAATGACTTCAGCTGCACATTGTCAAGCTACCAAATTCTTCTCCAGGTCCACACCCCCAATGACTCTCAATTCTGGCAGGGGCAGGATGTGATGGAGCTGGGCCAACCCATTCCTTTCACCAGTAGAAGTGATGGAAAACCAGAAAAAAACAAGTGCTTCAAGCCAATGCTCTTCCTCTGTGGCTTCCACAACCTTAGCCCATAAGAACAAAAGGGCTGACAGAAAGGAAGCTGGAGGCAGGATGTGAGAACAAGGTGTGAAGGTGAATGATGGCCTGGTGGAGTGCACAGGCTCACCCACCTCCTTCCTCAGGACCACCATCCCAACTTTTCTCCAATCCTATCATCACAGCCAGAAGACTAAACAGGGCTTTGGATCATGGCCCATTCTTTACTGGAAACAACTAGTGAATTACAAACACTAATTCTTATGAACACAAAAAACAGAGCATAGCACAAAAGCACTTTGTGAGAATTGTCAAAAGCTTCATTTCCAACCATGATGACACTAATGAAAAGCACAGCTCCTGTTTTCCTGATGCGGTACATTCCCCTGAGGGACCAGGGTGATGGGCCTGTGAGGAGCTTCTCCCAGAGAGGAAAAGAACGTGTCAGGGAAGCTCCTTTCAGCCAGAGTCCCCTGGAGCAGTGGTATACCTTCTGTCAAACCTGCTCTTCTATGCTGCACACCCACGATAATCCCGCTTACACGGGAACTCCACAAGCTAGTCAGCCTACAATCTTAGTTCTGCACACAGTCACGAAAGAGACTATTCATGCTCCTACTTGAGGGTCCCAGGAAACCCTCCTGGACCAGCCATCGCAGGTATGGTGGGACTGGAGACTGCAGAGTGGAGGGGTCATCTCTGAATTCCACAGGAGGGAGGACTGAAACAGATGAAGCTCCCTTTTCTAAATGGTGAAGAAGAGGCTTAGGGACCACTATTGTTACAAGAATTACCAAAGACCCTTGCCCAAATTCCTTAACTTCCCACCTCTTGGGGATATTATGACGTTGAAGTCAAACTTAAAACTTGTGTGCAAGTTATACCAACCACTCTATGCCACAGCATGGCAATAGGGTCCTTGCTTGGTAAAGGCTTCTCTGTGCAGTGCAGACACTGCTCATGCACCTGTGGTGTTTGTTCTGCGCCCCAGGTTTGCTACACATGAAATAACAGTAACGGCAAGGTCACCACCCTGACTTGACTGTCCCCAGAAGATTGTCAATGCTCACCCTTGTAACACCACCAGCAGTCTGGTCTTCTTGCAGATGTAGGCTGACTGGCGGGCAGAACGGTTCTGTTGGGCCTCCAGGGCACTGGAAAGGTATCTCTGAAAGTGGGCAGCATGAAAACACTCGGAGCTGTCCATGATTTGGCGGTATACCATCCACCTGGAAATGGCAAATGTAATCTCAGCATGGGGACCACATGTTGGCCTGGCCCAGTAGGCTCACCCATGGATTCAAATGTGACCAGTACTTCCAAAGACATTCTGCCCAGTGAACCCAGACAGGAGAAAGCAATCCTGGTACCACTTGGCCTGGCCCAGTAGGCTCACCCATGGATTCAAATGTGATCAGTACTTCCAAAGACATTCTGCCCAGTGAACCCAGACAGGAGAAAGCAATCCTGGTACCACAGAAAAAGGTGGAGGACTGGCTGGGTTGGGAGCCCCATATCCTAAAACCACCATCACTGGGGCTTTTGACAGCAAAGCTGTTGCCATGGAGGAAAAAAGGTCAGCTAAGCACATGGCCAACAGACTTCAGAGGTGAGAAAGACTCCTTCTGACCAGGCAGTCACTTCCTGAAGGACCATGCAATAAAATGACTTCAGTTTAGTGCTCAGTAAAACTCTTACAAGAATAAGAAATAGGCAGGGTACAGAATTCAGAATGTTTATAGAACAAAAGCACTAGACACCAGGAACTGATTAGCCAGTATGTACTTAATAAATGAGGTCCGATATTTCTCTGGCATCTCTCCAAAACTTGCCTCCCCATTCCCCCCACCTCCCCCAATCTCCTACCCTAAACTGTCAACCCTCTAAGCAATTTGTCTTCTCAATTCCTTTCTAGCCTTCTGCAGGGTACCTTACTTTGCGGTAGACTGACTAGATATTAAATATCTGGTTCAGTTAGCAAGGGTTGTTTAGTAATCTGCCAGTGAAGTGGAAGTGATGGCTGAATGATTTTCTCAATTTCACCTGAGCCAGTATGCTCTTCCAGCTACTTGAACTCATTCAGTCCCCTTGTGGTCACGGAAAGATCACTACATGTGCCAGCTCTCAAGCTCTTATAATCATCATGGCCCTCAATTTCCCTGCCAACCAGGCACACTCCCTGGCCTTTGCACTTGCTTGTACTGCTGCTGTAATGCTCTCCATAGATATCTGCATGGTTCATTTTCTTATTTTTTCAGGTCTTTGCTCAAATGTTACCTTCTCAGTGTGGTCTTCCCTGAACACCCAATTTAAAACTGGAATCCTACTCCCAGCCCTCACTGCCTATATCCTTATCTGCTTTATTTCCTCTATAGCACTTTTCACTAGCTAATATACTATGTTTTCCTTATCTTAACTGTCTTCCCAGACTAGAATGTAAGCTCCATGAGGGCAGAGGCTTTCTTGTCTGTTTTGCTCATTGATGTATTCCAGAACAATGTCTGGCATACAGGAAACACTTAGTACAGTGTGTTAAATGAACAGAGGGATGGATGACTACTGTGCCAATAGCAGTCGCTCCAAAGGCCGTACATGTGTAAGGTTTCCCAGTGCCTAGGCAGGCCCAGGCATAGAATCCCTTTCCCCAAAGCAAAGGCAGCAGCCATACTAACCTGCCATATTCCTTATGCAGAGTGACCAGAAAAGCACAGAGCTCGCTAGCATGACAACCTGGGAGGCCGGTTACAATGCTGATAATTACCTATATGAAAGAAAAGTCATGTGGGCTTGCAATTCAACTGAGAGGCAAGCATTGTACAAGAAGTTAAGAGAACTGACTTCTGTAGCCAGGCTCCGTGGGTTTGGATCTCAGCCCCACCTCTCACTAGCTCTGTGAACTTGGGTGTTATAAGGGTGGGTATGAGGAAATGTATGTAAAGTGCTTAGAACAGTGCCTGGAACATAGCAAACACCATATAAAATGTACTGTTCCTATTCTAATTTCTATGGAGTAGGTTGTAAATAGATCAGTTAAAATACGATGCAGTAAGGAGCCTACCTGCTTGAAACCACAGATCTCTTTTGTAAAGCAAACATTCATGGATATTATGATTTATTTCTAACAGTAAGACTTCTTAGGAGAATACTGGGCAGAAAGCAGGTCTGGGACAAAAATGCCAAGGGCCGCAATGGTGTAGGGAGAGGAGTGGAATTAGGGATGTTTCTGCTGGTTGCCTGTGCACTTCAAGTCATGTGGTCTGGGCTAAGTCAAAACTCAGTGGGTGTGGGAAGCACCTCTGATTCTCAATGAGGAGAAGAGGACCTAGGCTGGACTGTTCTAACCATATTACATGATCACATGAAAATAGGCCCCTCTTCAGGTAGATATTCCAAAGCAACTTAAGAAATTTATTGAAAAGGAGTCAAGTAGGGGAGGACAGGAACCATGCAATCACTGAAGATGTCTATGTAAATGACATAGCACAGCAAAGGCCTCTATATGTATGTGTTTTATTTCACAATATACAAGGCTCACTTTGACAGGCCCAATCACAGATATCTTATGCTAAGGCCAAGCCTAGAGGCACTCATCACCTGAGCTGACCTCATCAGCACAGAGATGGCCAAGGATCCCTCTTCATCTGTGGGAACCAGAATCTCTCCCTCCTCCCCTCTGACCATGGCATCTGCAGTGTATCCCCTTCTGCCTGCTTGGGCAGTAGTCCACATAACTGATGTTTTGTTTATTCTCCTCCCATACAGATTTCCCATCTTCGTTCCTATTCCTCAGTGCTCAGGTCTCAGCCACTCAAATCACCGCACACTAACACACCGGTACAGCCAAACACTTTCTTACTTTAAGGCCAGTCCTATAACACCTTTTTAATAAAAATATAACAAGTAGGCATTTTAGGCTTTTTACACTCTCTCCTAAGGGAAAAAATGATGCCTCTAACTGCTTAGTGTGCCTATTTCCTTTTTGCGGCTGAGTCTTTTCCAGATTTGCACAGAAATAAACGCTCTCTTTGAGTCTATTATGATATATGGCTCCAAAGGAATGGTGGGAAGGTGTCAAGAGGAGGGAAGTGGATTAAAGTCCACTCTGGGGAAGACAATGTTTATAAAGTATCACCTTACCCTAGTAATTCCAGCAAGGCCCAAATGACAATGGTGCCTTTCCCCTTATTAAGCACAATGTGTCAACCACTGCCAGGTAAGTCCTTGTCACAACGAGAAAGAGTTGTCAGCATGAGAGCACTGAGCAATAGTTTAAAAGACCTGAAGAACAGGGGAGGGCACAGCAAGATGCCAAGGTTTTATCACTGTTGTGGCCCTTGGCCTGACATAGTCATTGTACAGAGTGGGTTTCATGTGTATCATTAATTAGTATTCAAGGAAGTGGAGAATCTTATTAAAGGGGCTCCACCTGAGCTCCTTTTGTTAACTGACACAAAAGATCCAAGGACAGGTTCTCAGGATTATCTTCCTATGAATTCCCAGCATATTCGGTGGGCTCCTCTACCTTGTCATTTTCTACTCTGTGAGTAGGGTTGATTTCAGTTTGCTGCAGCAGGATAGGAAGATGAGTCTGCATCACTGGCTCCTGACTAATGCTGCTAATAGCAAAATGTTGGAGAAACCTGGAAAAACAAAGATAATGCTACTATGTTATCATCACCAGTCTTGTTTGAATGTGCCCACTCACATGAGAAACTTCTTACTTAATTGATAAAAAATAAACCTCAGGGAGATTCTAGAAAATAAAATTGTATATGGTATGTCACTACTACCTTTTACAATGATCCCTAAGAAGCTATAAAGAAAAAGGAGCTTAGAAAGGACCAATGCTGAGGTTTCTAACATTTCAAAAACCAGAACACTAAACATTTAAGAACAGAAAACCAGAGCTCACCAGTCCAGCTCTGGGAGCTTGGCTGAGAGTAGCTTTAGAGAACTCTGTTTCTCGCCAGCAGGACGGTTCAGGGCATTGAAGAGCTTCTGTGCACTGGAGTGTCTGGAATATCAAAAGCTCACAGATTAGAACTCCATCTCCCTATAGCATATGTACTTTACACAACTTATTCTGATGCTTTCAAGCCAGAGTCCTGTGAAAGACTTAACTCTTCCAAAACAAGCATCTCACTGATTTAAACAAAATGTAGCATTAGTGCATGATGACTGGTATGCCCACATAGGAAGGTTGGCTTGAAACCCCTTGATAACACTACAAGTTTCTGATTCTTGGTGGATTTCATTTCTCATGCCTTTAATTTCCCCAAGGGCACTAACTACCTGCAAGTTGGCAGCTCTGAAATGACTGTATTGGCTGTTTCAGAAACCAAGACTCCTGTGTTACATAATGTGAGTCATCCTGCAGAGAAAGCACACCCACAAAGCTTAGGGAAGCAAGCACAAACCCTGAAGGCAGCCACTTACAATCTCTTTTGTTCCAGAGATAATCCATCTTCTTGGATCACTTTTAAAGCCAGCCCTGAGTTATCCTGCTGTTGCCAGGGGGTGAAGACCTAAACAAAACAGAATTTGAGCAAAGAACACTTTAAACCCGACAACAGGATATGGAACCCACATGGGGATTTGATGACTGTTGGAAATCTAGACTGTCACTGCAGAGAAAAACCACTATGACAAACAAGTTTGCTTCAAAAAATAGAGGCCTGAAGCAATTTTGTTCTGTATTTTTCAAAACCAGAATGTCTTTCTGGGTTCTTCTCCTCAGGGATTCTGCTCCTTCAGAGGTCAGGAAGCATAGAGAAGGTGTCGGGTAACACTGTTCTGGCAGCAGAGGCAAGTTCATACCTGGTAATAGGACAGACAGACAGGAGTGGTGCAAGCAACTCCTGCCTAGAGGCAGAAGGATGGCTGAAAAGACTCTAAAGGGCTGTCTCTAGGTTCCCAGATTGAAAGGACAAGCACAAGGAGGTAGGAAGGCCCAGTAGGCAATAAGAGGGGAAACACAGTGGGTTGAGAAGCCAGTCTGCAGCTAGGGTCAGCTCTGCAAACCTGTCCTGAGGGAGGGACAGTATTCCCTCACAAGTTGCTGAAATCACACCTTTCCAAGAACTTCCACCAGTCATGGGCCTAGCCACCAGTTTGACTTTGGCTACTGCTTGGTCTCTAAGTGGATCATATAATTCTTGGTAAGTTCCCTCACTTGTGCAATCTGTGCTGAGCAGCTATAATATGCAGCCTGCTATGTGGGACCATTCACAAGGACAGGGACTCTGACCCATGGGGAAGGAGAGCATGGATTGGGTAGAGAGGTTTAATCCAGCAGGTAGGGCCCAACAATTCAATAAAGTAGCCAAAAGTGAAATAAATCTATTTAGGATTTAAAGGGGAAAAAAAAGATTTTTCTCAAAGGCTAAGAAGCCTTTTATTCAGTTTCTTTAGGCTCTCACCCCTCACTGGCAAGAGCACCATTACAGAACCCAACAGGATTAGAAGCAGTCACCCCCCAACCCAGGCCTCCCAACTCTCCCTCTGATCCCCTCACTATTAGCCCTGAGACGCTGCCTTACCATCTAAATTGCTAAGGAAGAAAAACAGCGTTTTGCTGAGTAATAATTAATGTTACCTTTGAGTAAAATGTTTGATATATCTTTGATTTGGGGAAAAGCGCAATCATCAGAAAATTGCTTGATCCAAGGAAATGAACTGGGAGATGAGGAAGCAATGAGCTTTTAAAGTCTATGAGAAGGGCAGCAACAATACTGGTGGAATCCTACAGAGAAAAAGAGGGAGCATGAGTGAGAAAAACCATTTGCATGATTCCAGCCCTCACAACCACTATCAACACACAGGATCAATTTCAGTGCAATTATTTTCTCATTATGTGGATCACTAAGGTTCAATAATAGATGTGTTTTCCAAGATTCAGTTACAGGAGATATAGGAAGTACAAGGATCTTTTTTCCTAAACTGAAAATGTCATTTCAAAATTCATTCTACGGTATTAATCCCTATTGAATATATGATTTGCAAATATTTTCTTCCATTCTGTGGGTCGCCTTTTTATTCTCTTGACAGTGTCCTTTGACGTACAGAAGTTTTTTATTTTGATGAAGTCCAATTTATATATTTTTCTTCCGCTGTCTGTACTTTTGGTGTCATATCACTGCCAAATCCAGGGTCATGAAGCTTGTTTCCTATGTTTTCCTCTAAGAACTTTATTGTTTTAGTTCTTACATTTAGGTTTTTGATTCCATTTTGAGTTAATTTTTTGTAAGGTAAGGATCCAACTTCATTCTTTTGCATGCGGATATTCAGTTTTCCCAGCACCATTTGTTGAAAAGACTGCCTTTTCCTCATTGAATGGTTTTGGCACCCTTGTTGAAAATCATCTGACCATATATGTGAGAGTTTATTTCTGGGTTCTCTGTTCTATTCCACTGGTCTATACGTCTGACCTTATGCCAGTACCACACTGTTAGGTTACTGTAGCTTTGCAGTAAGTTTTTTTTGTTTGTTTTGTTTTATTTTTCTTGTAGTAAGTTTTGAAATCAAGAAGTGTGATCCACCAACTTTGTTTTTCTTTTTCAAGGTTGTTTTGGCTAACCGGAGTCCCTTGAGAGGCCATATGAATTTTAGGATGGGTTTTCCTATTTCTGCAAAAAATCACTGGGATTTTGGTAGGGATTGCATGAATCTGTAGCTCACTTTGGGTAGTATTATTGTCTTAACATTAAATCTTCTCAATCACGAACATGGATGTCTTTCCATTTATTTAGGCCTTCTTTAATTTTTCAGTAATGTTTTATAGTTTTCAGTGTACAAGTCTTTCACCTTCTTGGTTAAATTTATTCCTTAGTATTTTATTCTTTTTGATGCTATTGTAAATGGAATTCTTAATATCCTTTTTAGATTGTTCATTGCTAGGTTACAGAAACGCAACTGATTTTTGTGTATTGATTTTGTATTCTGCAACTTTGGTGAATTCATTTATTAGTTCTAACAGTTTTTTTTTTGTGGAATCTTTAGGGTTTTCTACCCGTAAGATCATGTCATCTATAGACAGATATAATTTTACTTCTTTTCAATTTGGATGACTTTTATTTTTTCTTCTTGCTTAACTGCTCTAGTTAGAACTTCTAATACTATGTTGAATAGAGGTGGCAAAAGCTGACATCCTTGTCTTGTTCCTGATCTTAGGGGAAAAGGTTTTTGTGTTTTTTTCTTCAAGAAAATTTATTATAAACTAATATATTCATTAAGTAAAAAAAAAATTTTTTTTTCCTTTTTGTCTTTTTTCGTGAC